TGCACAGTATCACCTTAAAGCACTTGTTGCAGGCTGCTGAGTTTGCATCTTTTGCTGTGAAGTACAGCCAGACTTTTGACCGCTTCGCCTTGAGCATTTTTAATCTGTAGCTCTGCTCTAAAAGAACGTATGTACCTGGGCCCGCCTACTATCCTGGGAAAGGTAAAATGATTGGCTAGAATCCAAAGTGTATGACACCGGTAACCGGTTGTCATTATGTTCATCCCAGTCAGCTGTTTCCCCATCTGTTTCCACTTCCCCTGATAACCTCCTGTGTGCATTTAGTGTGTGTGTTTTCATTCATTCCTCGTCTGATCGTCTGCTGTCATGCCATGTTCCCAGGTCTACATGCCAAGTTGTCGCGTTTAAGGTTTTTCATGTCAGGTTTTCATGTTTATGTTCAGAGTTGTTTAATGTTTAGCCTTAGTTCACCCAGTTTAGGTTAGTGTTTAGTTTTGCCTTTGCCCCTTGTTTGGTATTTTTAAAACCAGCCTTTAACAAACGGCTCGCTTTCAGTTAATATCAAGTTTGTTTCCACGCTTTGTGTTCTCTGCACTTGGGTCCACCTCCTCACTCCACACAGTCTGCTTCAGCCAGACTGTGGCAAAACGTTGCTGTAATTGGACCAGAATTTGTGCATTTTGCTGTAAATGATGAACATCCTGTTAACAAAGCTCTCTGAAATTTCCTGAATGGTTGTTTCCATTTCCATCAACGGCATCGAAGAGCTTGCTGCTGTGTTTCTCACCATTTAGCTTTCAGAGATTATTCAATCAAACTATCACAGAGTGGGAATCCAGGTGGTAATTAGGCCTTATTGTTATTGTCTGGATTTTTCAGGGTAACGTAACATTTCGGGGCTCTTCCGGGATTCTGAAACAGGAAGTCCGAAAACAGCTTTGTGTCCTCTGTTAGCTTCATCTTTGGTGACTAACGTGATGAGAGCAGCTTCAGCAGACCTGATCAGACTGATGGTATAACCAATGTTCCCTCTAATTTTTCATGTGTCTGAGCGAACACACAAACTCCCTGAGCGGTCCCTTGGACTACTGTAAGCAACAGCAGGCGTGTGCACTGTGGTCACACCAGCATCGAACCCATCCAAGTTACATGGTTTATTTAAATAATCAAATTACAGCATTTACATTTATGTTAGACTACTTTTAATTAACTGCTTTAGCCCACTTACAATGGAAATTTTAAAAAAAAACATATTGAACTTCAGTCAGAGGAAGTCACGGTTGCCAAAAACATTTTGAAGTTCAAGAGTGAGGCTGGTGCCATTCCAGATATGTTAACATTGTACAATCTTCTGGATAATCAGATCTTCCCCACACTGAAAACTGTTATTCAGGTTGCCCTAACAAACCCATTTAGCAGATGTAGTTGTGAAAGGTCTTTTAGTGTCTTGTGTCAGCTCCATGCCTGGCTGAGAAGGATCAAGAGTCAAAGCAGACTCCAGCACCTGGCTGTGATGTCAGTTGAGAAAGAGATGCTTGAGAGACTTAACCACCAAAATCCGACATAGACAGATTTGCCAACCTCAAGGTGAGGCGACATAGGTTAAAATAAAAGAAAAAATCTGCAGAGCCATAGTAGTATCTGCAGTAAAGATCTTTTCATACATTGTACCATAGGCCAAGGTGTCTCCATTTTTATTAATTTTTATTAATATTTTGTACATTTGTACATTTCAAGGACTCTTCTATTTTTGGAGTGTATTTTGATGTGTCTGTATTATATTATACAAACACATTAAAAGTGAATCTCTGTTCAAAAAATGCACTCAGTTTACTTTTTACTCACTATGAGCATCATTTATTATTCTCCCCCAGTAATTAAGGTTAGGAATAACGTTATGGTTAGGGATCAGGTTAGGTTTAGGGCTGGAATACAGGGCTGGAACGTCTATTACCGCGGGACCGTCATTCCACTGGATTTCATCCATAACCCACCGCGTACCATAAGAACGCGGAAGGTCACCTTTCGCGTTCCTCAGGAATGCCGCGGGACGTGACAAAACGTCGAGATGTTACGCCTTGGGAGTGACAACGGTCTGCATTATCCAGATGTAAATAAGCATGATTACACAGTTACACAATCGTACCAAAACTCTTTCCTGATAGTTCCCACTTTCTCTTTCGTATCAGACATACTGAGACAATATTCGGGATAAATAACCATGAAAACAATTTATTTATTCAGTTTAGAGGTTTACACATCACATCATTATAATCATTGAGCCTGTTTCACTTGAGTCGTCTACTTGATGGCGCAGTAGAGCAAATGAATCATCACAATGCTTCAAGCCATGAGTGGACCAGTTGGATGGAAAGCTTCAGTTCACCACGAGGCTTCATCTCACCATCACTATTGGTCTCTCTATTTTCTAATGTCAATGTAAGAATCACTTAGAATATATAAAGCTCTGACTTGTATTATGAGTCTGTGGTCTGGGAGAGAGTCCTGTAACTCTCTGTCTGCAAAATACAGTATATAATGACCAATGTTGGGCAATTAATTATATAGTTACTTCTTCAAAAAAGTTACTGAGTTTTGCAAACAACAAGGTTTTTTGCAGCCGTTTACCTAAAAATGCAGCCAAGGCGTTTTTTTAAACAAACATTTCAAACTATTTACAGAACAATCAGCTGTTCTGCATCAAATTTGATGCCACACAAATTATTTGTGCCACTCCAAAAAATACTTTCTGTCCACTATGAGATTATGAGTAAATATAAACAACGGTAGTATTCAGGAAGAAAAACAAACACTGCATATTTTTTTATCACAACTCTGGTTTTACGTGGCCTATCAACGAAATTTAAAAACTGGTATAAAGTCCACACCTTTTCTGTCAATTGTTCCGTCTGTCCTGCTCACATCTCCAATGGTTGTCCACGTTGTCATTAACGTGGCTTCACTCCACATCAGCCACGCCGCTTTGCCAGCTAAAACACCGGTGTCGGCACATAAGGACGCTGTCATAGCCTGTCAACGACGTTGATTAGCTGCGTATATACGTGAATGTGAATCGCATGATTGGCTGGACTATGGGATAAGGGAATGGTTCTCCCATACGGGAGCAGCCAGTCACTTACTGACTAACACTGCAAAACAGAATTGTTAACGTATTTACTTCAATTCAGGTTAGAATTTATTTTTTGTGCGCAACGCAGATTTTTTCTGCGCAGAGACCGTGCCAGCAGTGCGCAATTGAGCACGCACGCAGCTTAGAGGGAACATTGGATATAACTGATGCCTTCAACCTCATTGAAAGAGCAAAATACAAACTTAAAGGAGACTTTGTGTTTGAAGGAATGAATGTCACACACCCTGCAGTCCACCAGCTAACAGAAAAGCTCCTACCTGCACAAAGCTGCACATCACGTGATATCCAAACATGGGCAGGCTGGGCCGACTCTCCCTGTAAACGTGGACAGTGTAGATGGACATGATAACAGGCTCCGGGTGGCTGCCGTCCATCACCAGGATGCTGATCTTGCTGTTGCCGAGGCCAACCGGGTAGTTCGCCATCCTGAAGGAAGAAACTTCTTGTTAATCCTGCTGTTGTAAAAGTGGCTGCAAGGAGGTGCTCTGAGGTTATCCTCTGTGAAAAGGAGCAAATGGAGCTACAAAGCCAGATTCACATTTTATTTGAGTTTCATAAATCCAGCATGGATCACAAATCTAAACTGAAATAAAACAACTCTTGTGTCCCTTCCTTTTTCCTTATAAAAGCCCAGCATAATACTAATGCATGACAAGGAGTCCTCCCTTGATGGCACCTGTTTCCAAACCATGACTCCAGCCGACGTTAGCAGCATAGTTAAAGCCCAGAAGAGAAGTAGTAGTAGCTAGTTGCTGTCAGTAGGCTGCTGCTTGCTTCATGCCCCAAATCAAAATGGCGAATGCTATAGAGCAGTTCATGCTCTGATTTTACTTCAATAGAAACGTGTTAAAATAATCTAATAAAGGAAGTACATCTGTTGTCTCGGCTCCTGCTTAAACATCTGTCCAATCAAATGTCACATTTCGAGGTTCCTTTCATTCAGGACTATCTCGACTGCACCTTCTCTGCTGTAACCTGTTGGTTTTTACAGTCCTGGTCTCACCTGGGACCTCTGTGTTCATCCAGGTGGATCCTGCAGGCCGAGCTGACAGGCTCCGGCCGGATCCGAACTGTCATGGTGTCAAAGGTCACCTCTGCGTGGTACTCCTTCACCAGGGGATGGAACGGGGGGTTCAGAATGAGGGGGGGGTCTGTGTAGATCTGTCGAAGGTGGGGGTCCACACAGAGACCTGAAACAGAAGAATCAGCATGACGTTCGATCTCAAGGTTCTACTTCACTTCACCCATGACACCCACCACTAATGAACAGAGCTTTCACAGTAGAGTACTGAGCAAGTCCCGCCTAGGAAGCCCCTGAACCTGTTTGGGGGTAAAACCATCTCCTGTTTCCTCAGGTAGAAACCAAGCATCATCCTCTAAGGCTGAAGCTAGAACTCCGTTAAAGAAAAAAACTTTGCGGATGCTGTGATCACACTTTGGCTGCATGGATCAGAAAAGGTGTGAATGGCTGTCTGTGTTAGCCCTGTGACAGACCGCGTACCTCTACAGGTGTAACTGCCTGTTGCCTTGTGACACCTAGAACAGGTTGTATAGATTGAGCAGCATCATGTGACCACATGTGTTTCCAGATGTCAGGACAGGTCTAAAATCCACATCTCACCTTCGTCCTGTGAGGAAGACAGAGCTGGCTGCTGACTGGGCGGTTCGTCTGTCCTGTGGGAACATCAGACATAACCCTTCAGTGAACTTCTAAGTTCACACACAATGGATCATCTCACACCTGTGAGCCTCTTACCTGCAGCTCCTGTTTGTTTTCAGCTTGTAGAAACCTTCGATCTGGGTCAGGAGGTCAGAGAGGCCACGAGGCAAGGATGAGGAGGAGGAAACACTGGGAAAGAGCTGTAGTGACAAACAAGGCACACACACTCAGTTAACACTACTGAAGAAGAAGATGATGAAGGAGGCGGGGCTTAACTAACCGGCTGAAACGCTGATGAGGTCTTCATCAGCAACTGAAAGTGCAGCAGAAGAAGAAACTCATCTTCAGACAAACAGACGCCAAGTGTCCCTGTACAGCCACCGTACTGACACACACACACACACACACACACACACACACACACACACACACA